ACTGCCTACTATATATATATATATATATATTGTTGCGTCAGCGAGGTCACGTGACTATTATCACGCCACGCCCTTCTCGAACCTTCATGAATTATCGGGAGATTACTAGATTGGGGTAGTCTGGTATATATAAGACGGTCACAACGTGACGGAACAACAGTGTAATGAGTAATTGAATGTATGCGGACAGAATATCGTTGGCCACGTGAGACGTGAGTTATAGCGTTTGTTATAGAGCAACTGTTGAAATTAAGTGTATCGTAAAGTTGTATTCGGAAAGAATAAACCAGTTTTATTTAAGAAAGGACTTGTATCGCTAAAGTTTCGTTGGAACGAATTTACGGAAAATTAATTAACGAACGAAAGGAGACGTAACAAATTGGTGTCAGAGAGTGGGACAAAAAAAAATGGAAACGAGAGGCGGAAAATCAAACTACAGCCTAGCAGACTTGATGGCAGCAAAAGAAACAAGAAGAATGGGAAAAGAAACAAGAAGTTGTTGGAGGAAAAAGAAAAGAAACAAGAAGAACGAGAAAATAAACAAGAAGAGAGATTACAGCAGTTGTTGGAGGAAAAGAAAAAAACAAGAAGAGAGACAACAGCAGTTGCAAGAAAACCTGCAACAGTGGCAGCTCGAACAGCAAAATAAACAAGAGAGATTACGGCAGTTGTTGGAGGAAAAAGAAAAGAAACAAGAAGGGAGATTACAGCAGTGGCAACTAGAACAAGAAAGGAAACAGGAAGAAAGTCAGCAGCAACTACAGGAAAGTCAACAACAGTGGCAAGAAGTACAAATGGAAAACATTAGTAAATTCAAAAGCGAATTAGATACATTAAAGGATGATCTATTGTCTTTTACACAAGGAGGATACATTAACCATCGACTTAATCAGACAATGGCAAGCCCCTTCCAGACCCCGCAGCTAAACACTAATGCAGACATCTTCAGTCCTGTTAGAAGTCACATTCCGGATATGAATGTCAGTAATAGGAGTGATTCAGTACGAAGGAAGCCACAGGAATACGATGGGAAAGCACCATGGGAAGCATATAGAGCAGAG